CTCCTCCTCGCTCCTCCTTCTCCTCCTCGCTCCTCCTCGCTCCTCCTCGCTCCTCGCCCTCCTCGCTCCCTCCTTCTCCTCCTCGCTCCTCCTCGCTCCTCCTTCTCCGCTCCTCCTCCTCGCTCCTCCTCCTTCCTCCTCCTCCTCCTCCTCGGTCCTCCTCCTCCTCCTCCCTCCTCCTCCTCCTCGCTCCTCCTCCGTCCTCCTCCTCCTCCTCTACCTCCTCCTTCTCCCCTCCCTCCTCCTCTCCGCCTTATCCTCCTCCTCCCTCCTCCTCCTCCCGCCTCCTCCTCCCTTCCTCCTCTCCTCCGCGCTCCTCCTCGCTCCTGGCTCCTCCTCGCTCCTCCTTCTCCTCCTCGCTCCTCCGTGCCAGATGGCCGCAGGCGGCCTGTGCAGGGCGGCGGCGGCGGCGGCGGCGGCCGCCGCTCCCGGGGAGGCCCCGCCGTCGCGCCCGTCGGGCGGCGGGCGCCGCGCCGCGCCGCGCGGGGAGCCCTCGGCGTGCCGAGCCCCCCCGGCGCTGGCCCTGTCCCGCGCGGGGCGGGGCGCCGCAGCGGCGCGCCGCTCGCATTGGACTTGCGCGGCGCTGTCGTTGGCTGACCGTCGAGCACTTTCCGCTTGCAGCTCGCGCGGCGTTCCCAGAGATCCAACGCATGGAAGACAGCAGGGCGGAGGTCTGGCGAAGTTTTTGGCCTCTAGGGGCCCTCGCCGGGCCCTGGGACCGTCAAACATTGACTCAAGACGAAAAACCGGTCCCGGGGAAGGGGTCGGGATTTCCAGGGAGTCCGTCTTGAAACAAGCAGGACGTCGCATGTCTGGGTTGGCTGACCGTCGAGCAGTTTCCGCTTGCAGTTGGCGCGTCGTTTGAAGGTCGCACTGGTCTAAAGTCAGGATGCTCCAACATTCTTTAGCCTTGATCACCAGAAGTAATTGCGAGCGCACCCGCAGACTCTAGGGTTTTCACGTGTCGGGCCCTGGGAGACACTCTTTCGACACTCTTTCGACACTCTTTCGACTCTTTTCTTCCGGGAGCTCGAACTTACTTCTGGGATGTGGTCCTGAAGTACGATGGGAGCAACGTAAGTCCAAAGTTCCTTTAGTGGGGGGCGGGGGCCGTCTTGCACGCGTGCAGTCTGCGCCGCTGGGGCCTGGCGCCGCAGCAGCGCGCGCCGCCGGGGGGAGCGGCGCGGGGCGCCCCTGCGAACAGCTGCGGCGGGGGCGCTGGCGCCACGTCTGCGGACGTGCTCGTTTGTTCCCAGAGGTCCAACGACGTTGTGTTGTTGTTGTTGTTGTTGTTGTTGTTGTTGTTGTTGTTGTTGCTGTTTTTTTTTTTTTGTTGAACTTACTTTTCGATGTAATCTAAAGTGTTTCAAAACGTATTTTTTTTATATTTTGATTATATATATATATATATGTATTCATATATATATATATATATATGAACACACACACAAAACTGAGGTTTTCAGCTGCTTGCGGCGTCCGGAGGCCCTCGCTGATCCAGGGAGGTTCTGGCTTGGGGGTGAGAGTGGCTTTCGCCCCTCAAGAAACGCCTCCACCCCCAGCCAGGACCCCCTGGATCATGTGCGGGGTGCGCGCGGGTCCGCGCGCCCGCTGCGGTGCCGCGCACGCACACCGCGCGCACGCGATGTCCCGCCCTGTCACCGAGGGCCTGCGGCCCGCACTGGGTTCGGCGGCGACGATGGGGGCGAACAGCCTCAGGGGTAGCAGCACAGGCACATGTCAAACTCAGTCCTTCTCGGCGTGGTGGCTCCACCATGCGCGATCTGCTGCTGGCTGCAAGGTGGCCGCTTTTTCGACAGGAGCCTGGCACGGCAACGCGAGAAGTCAATTGGTGCATTGGTCATCGGCCGTCCGCGTCCCTCTCCCGTCCCCCCATCCCCCCTCTCCACAACAAATGTGCGGTCGGATCCAGGCCAGGAGAAGCATCCCTCAAGAACACGAGGCCCTCCGTCGGCCAAGACAAGCAGAACATCCCAAGGGTACTTCCCCAGAATGCGCCAGAGCATCCAACAAGCACGAAGAACGCCGGGGTACCCTCCCCGAGCCGACCTCGATCTTATACCTCGGTCCGGCTGCATCCAGGGGCGCCGGTGTCCCACGTCTTCTGCAAGGCTCCCCAGGGCCGCCCCTGGGCGCTAGTTGCCCCTATCGTCGCCTCCGATGGGTGCTCGATGGACTCGAAGAGGGGACGAAGCACACAGACTCAATTCATCTTCGATCCCAGGAAAAGTAGGAAAACATGGGAAGTGGGGGGCAAGGCGAAAACCCAGAGTAAATATGGATTCTGGGATTTGTGTCCATGTGTGTCTGTGCGTGTGTCCCTGGTCCCCTTCAGGACTTGGCTCTCCCCCCCCCCCGAGTGTGTGTGTGTGTGCGCGTGTGTGCGTGAGTGTGTGTGTGTGTGTGTTTGTGTGTGTGAGTCTCTAGGCCCCTTCGGACTTGGCTCCCACCCCCTCGTGTGTGTGTGTGTGTGTGCGTGTGCGTGTGCGTGTGCGTGTGCGTGTGCGTGTGCGTGTGCGTGTGCGTGTGCGTGTTGTGTGTGTGTGTGTGTGTGTGTGTGTGTGTGTGTGTTGTGTGTGTGTGTGTGTGGTGTGTGGTGTGTGTGTGCGTGTGCGTGTGCGTGTGCGGTGCGTGTGCGTGTGCGTGTGCGTGTGCGTGTGCGTTGCGTGTGTGTGTGTGTGCGTGTGTGTGTGTGTGTGTGTGTGTGTGTGTGTGTGTGTGTGTGTGTGTGTGTGTGGGTGGGGGGCGCGGCGCCCGTGCCCGAGCGCCCGTGCCGCCTCTGGGCCCAGGGGGCTTGCGAGGAGGGGCGGGCACCCCGTGGGCCCGCTGGGCCGCAAGAGGGGCGCAGCTCGGGCGCTCCCCGCCGTTTTTCTTTCTCGCCGCAGGGAGGGCCACGCTCGGCTTGCACCGCCGCGAGCCGGGCGTGCTGCAACATTTTTTGTTCCTCCTCCTCCTCCTCCTCCTCTCCTCCTCCTACCTCCTCCTACCCCCATCCTCCTCTCCTCCTCCTCGCGCCCCCCTCCCCTCCTCCTCCTCCTCCCCCTCCTCCACGCTCCTCCTCCTCCCCTCCTCCTCCACCTCCTCCTCCTCCTCACTCCTCCCTCCTCCTCCTCCTCCACTCTCCTTTCTCCTCTCCTTCTCCTCCTTCTCCGGCGCCTCTCCTCCTCCTCCTCCTCCTCCTCCTCCCCTCCTCACTCCTCCTCTCCTCCTCCTCCTCCTCCTCCTTCCTCCTTCCCCTTCCTCCTCTCCCTCCCGCCTCCTCACTCCCTCCTCCTCCGCTCTCCTCTCCTCCTCCTCCTCCTCCTCCTCCTCCTCCTCCTCCTCCTCCTCCTCCTCCTTTGGGGGGGGGCACCCGCCGCTTGCTCTGGCCCGGCTTCGGGCCCCAGGGCCGCGCAGCTTTCCGAGGAGAAGAGGGTGCCCACTACCGCTGCCCCCTGCTCATTCTCTTGTTTTTTTGGGGGGCCTCCTGGGCGGCCCTCGTCGCAACCGCTGGATTCGCCTCGAGATCCTGGCCGGAACGCACCCCCGGGAGAGGTCGGGGGAGTAGCGGTACAGTGGAGACCCATGCCAAGAAGCACCCTGCTTGCCTCCAGGGTGCCTTGGGTTTCTTGGGTCTCGATGGTTTTGCGATGGAAGGCGTGACGCTCCCACACAAACAATCAGTGGACGTCCCGGGGTCTCAGGGTTGCAATTTCTTGTGGAAGAGTTCTTGTGCCGTCCTCTGGCTAGCTCTTGGATTCCTCCTCCTCCTCCTCCTCTTCCTGGTTCTCCATTCTTTTGGTGATATTTCCGCCCCTATCACCCGTGGACCGGAGGTGCGCCTGGAAAGGATGAACTCGCGCGTCGCGCGCGTCCAGACTCTGCTGAAGAACTTCCGAGAGCAGGCCTTGCCGCCGCTGCTGCTGCCAGCGTGCCGCGAGCCATCCAGCAGCGTGAGTGCCGCATGCCACGTGGAATGCTGTTGCGGGAGATGGGGCCACGGGAAGGGTAAGGCGGACAACGGCTGAGGCATCGAAGAACTCGTGCAGTGTGGGCTTGTCTTGTGGTTTCTCGCAGCACGTTGTGAATCCGTGCGGTGGCCTTGCTTCATCAGGGAAGATACGGATCTGTTTTTGTATCTTGCGGCCTCCCGCCGCTTGCTTGACGGCTTGTTGGACCCGACTCGCCGCAGACCAAGAAAACCAGCTGTATCTAGTGGCCTTCGGCCTGTCGCCACCGTGCTTGCAATGACGGTCAGAGGCGTCTCCGACGCCTCTTTGAAGTTTCTTGGGGGCTTTGTCGGGCCTCTTGGGGGTCTCTTGTAGTCCTTTGGGTGGCCTTTTGGGGGCCTTTTGGGGCCTCTTCTTGGTAGCCTCTTGGGGCCTCTCGGGCGTATCTGGGGGCTTCTTAGGGTCTCTTGGCTGTCTCGGGGGCAATCTTGGCATTCGAGAGCTCGCCTGACCATCTCGGGTTTCATTATTTTGCCGCCGCAGACCTTCCGCAACCATTGTTGGTGGTGCGCCACGCACCCCCGACCTCTCGACCACTCCCCAGGGACCAGTTCTTCATCCCGAGCCGTTTTTTGATTGTCCGGAGGCCCGGTTATGGCCCCGAGAGTCGGGGGTGGACAGAACCCCCAACAGTGACACGTCGATTAGTGAATTGTCCGTTTTCGGTTCTCGAGAGGGCGCCGTGGCTGTTATTTTCCAGGCTTGCGCCCGCCAGGTTTGGGCCTGAGGTCGTTTTCACTAAACCACGTTTTACTAAAGTGGGGTCGGTCCATCCCCGAATGGCCCCGAGAGGCCGGCCAGCACAAAAAAGACTTCGTCTGTTTGGATCTGTGCCTCGGTCGAGCTGGTAGAGACGTGGATCAGTGCAAACGGGGGTCGGCCAGAGCGCCAGACCCTGCAGGATCTTGCGATGCCAGGGTTGCACTGCTCAAGGCTAGCGCGCAGGATCCTGGAGGATTTCTCAGGGTTTTGCAAGACCCTGCGAAGCCC